GCGATGCAAGCCGTCTAAGCACCGGCAATAACATATATATATATATATATATATATATATATATATATGTTCTCTCATTCCTGGATCAACTATCCAACTACTATCCTCGAAATTCTGCAGGCTGGGTCTCCTCCACATGTACTCTTCCTATAGAGTCAGCAAAGATTAGACAAAATTAATAGCAATGAATTTGTGTAGCCAATTATAAAGAAAGCAGTACATGAGTTTTGTTGAGTTGAAAACAAACTGAAGATTATAAAACGAGCTTTGTATTCCCTTCTACTTTGGGTATTGACTTTATTATAGCAAACCCAAATGAGAGGTCACAATTCACTCTTGTCACGAGCTTTATATTCCCTCCTCCCAAGTTGGTAAGGGAGGGACCACGATCAAGGAAGGATCAGGCAACCAGGTCATGACTCTTAAACATTTGAGTCCCCAAAATTTTTGTTTGCAATTTTAAGTCCAATAAAAGGTAAAACATGTAACATAACATAAAAATCTTGCATTTCAAATCTATACATTAGATTAAAGTCATACCCAAAAATTTTGTTTGCGATTTTAAGCCAAATTAGATTTGGCTTTAATTTTTATTCAAAGGGTGATTTTAGAAGTTAATTTTAAATGTGAAATTAATTATGGTAAGAATGTAAGGATTAAGGGGTTAAAAAAGTCTTTTAGATGTATATTAAAGTTATCCTAACAATCATTTTAAGTCATTTGCAAAATTGAAACATAATTAAAAAAATAAATGCATTGTGGCATCTATATTCTATACTCTAATATTATTTTGGAATGTAAGAATTGAGATGACATTTGATCAATTAAAATATCTAATAGAATGACATGTGTCCTTAATTTAGAGATTTTGATTGGATTAAATTAAATGAGTTATAAGACAAATTATATGATTTGAAATTAATTGATTAATTGATATTATTCACTAATGTTTTTATTTTTTATTTTAAATTGTATAAATCTAAGTATTCATGAATTTAACTATTTGTGAACTTAACCAAATTTATGATATTCATAAATTTAATTAATTGTGAATAAATATATTTCACGTTTAGTGTTATTTAAATTTAATATTTTTGAGTCTATATTCATATTTAATGTTGAGTTGTATAAATAACTGTGAATCAAACTTAAATTGCATGAATTTAAATATTCATAAAATTTATTAATTCATGAATTTATGATATCATGAATCTAATTAATTATGGGTAAATGTACTTAATTTTTAGTATTATTTAATTTTAACATATCTATTGAATAATATAAATATTCATTAATTAAATTCAAATTATTATATTTTAGGTTTTTTTTCATGTATTTTGTAAAAGTATAAGCTTTTTGTTTGTATCATTAGAAATAATTATACATCAATTGAGTTTCGATTGAAATAATTTGTTGATTTATCTACATTAAATATTATTTTATAAATATCTACTTTATACTGAATAAAATAATGATATTAATGAAACCATAAATTCTTCTAGTAATAAATGAAAATAATTCCCTCGGGGATTTCATGCGACAATTGTCAAATTTTTTAGCCTTTTATTTAGTTTTTTTAGTTTAACAACAATAAATAAAAGAAAAGGCATGAAAAAAAATTTATATCTTATTATCTATACTACTTTTATCTATATTAAAAGAATATAAGGAGTTAAGAAAGTAATATGTATCTATTTTTATAGGTTTATTGGGTTTTGGGGTGTGAGATGTGGCTTTATATGTTTATGAGAGTTTGGCTATATGTTTATAGTTTATATATTAATTGTTTGTATTTAATATATTGTCAGTATATATATATTATATATATATTATTAGTGAAATCAGATAATATTACTTCATTAATGAAGTTAATCAAATTATATAATCTCAAATAATAAATAAGTTTTTTAAAAATATTAATTTTTTTATATTTATTTTAAAGATTGATATTTATTCACTAATAAGTTGTTATCATTTAATTTTTTGACAGTGTATAAAGTTTATATATTGTCAATGAAATCATATAATATCACCTCATTAAAGAAGTGAATTAAATTATATCATCTAAAATAATGAATAAATTTTAAAAAAATTAATTTTTTGTATATTTATTTTAAAAGTTGATATTTATTTATTAATAAGTTGTTATTATCAAATTCATTAACAGTGTATCAAATTTATATAGGATTCACAGCTCAATCCATCTTCGACAAGTTCTAACCCGACTTAACCTCATAAGGTTGATAATTTTTTTTAAATCATGTTTTGGGTCGAGTTGAGTCAGGTAATGTTAAGAAAAAATCGGGGTTGAGTTAGGTTAAGGTTTTAGGTAAATCCAACTCGATCTGATCTGATATTATATAAAAAATATTTTTTAATTAATTATTTAATTTTTTATTTATATATATTTTATATAATTATATAACTATATATTTATATTTTAAAAAAATAATATTTTATTAATTTCAGGTCGAGTTAGGTATGATTTATATAATATCAGATCGGATCAAGTTCGGATATGAAAAAAATAAAAAAAAATTTTTAGTTGGATTGAATTCGGATTTTATAAATATAAAATCGGGTCGAGTTTGAATCAAACAAAAACCTGACTCGACCTGATCCGTTTCTAACCCTAAATTTATATGCTGAAAATGCATTAAATATAAACTCATTTATTAAATGGGTTAAGTTAATACTTGAATTGATTTTTGTTGATTTTGGGAAACAAATCAATTATCATTTTAGTTGTTAGATTTTGTTTTAAGAAAGATAAGTAGGTTAAAATTTTACTCGTTAAATTAAGACAAATTTCTCCAAAAAAAAAAAAAAAAATGATGGCAAAGGTTTGGCTCTTTTTAAATAAATAAATCTAAAGATACATTTTTAATCCATTTTATGTAAACAGCTTTAAGTCAAAATACAGTATTTTAAATTAATTTCTTTTTTCCACAAAACATTTTTACTTCTTAGAATATATTTTTAAATTTTTATTTACATATATTTATTTTATGTATTATTTTAAATAATAAAAGAGATAGAGTTAAAAGTAAAAATGATCATTGAAAAAATCTCTAATGATAAAAATTATTTAAAAATTTGTAATTACAAATTTTAAAATATTTTCTTAAATTGAAGAATCATATAATCAATTTTACTAAAGCATAAAGTAATTCTCACAATTTTTTACAATAAAAAATTTATTTACATATACTTATTTTATGTATTACTTTAATTAACAAAAGAGATAGAGTTAAAAATAAAAATGATCATTGAAAAAATCTCTAATGATGAAAATTATTTTAAAATTTGTAATAACAAAGTTTAAAATATTTTCTTAAATTGAAGAATCATATAATCAATTTTACTAAAGCATAAATAAATTCTCACAATTTTTTCCAATAAAAAATTAACTTAGAAAGATCATAAAAAAAATTTATTATCATTATCAAAATTAAAAATTTCAAAATTTGCATATAATTGAAACATTAATAAAAAAAAGTAAGAATATAATATAATATATTTTAATAATTAAAAAACATAATAATAAATTTTATCAAAAATGGAAAGATTTCAAATAATTAAAATATTTTTAGATAATATAAATATTTTGTTAACCAATTTAATTTTTATTAATAAATTTGAAAACAAATCTCAAAATAAGATGAACTTATTCATTTAGAGATAATTTAAATAATTTAATAATTAAATTTTTATTAAAGAAATAAAATAATAAATTCACCTTTCCTTACGTTCCAAAGGGTAACGAGGGTAATTTACTAGCTAATACAATGGGTCACTGATCCGACTTAAACTATCGAGGCGATCGAAGTTAAATTGAGCCAACCCAACTCATAGCCTGATATAAAGGCTTTTTTTTTTTTTTCCTTTCTCTTTTTTCTTTTCTACTTTATGGGTGGAGAGAAATATTTGAAATATTTTTATTAACTGGGCAATGATGATTTCATTTAAATCATGAAACCGCCATTAGCATTAAAAATTGTTGCCTTTTTTCTTTTTTCCTTTTTAATAAAAACAAAAAGAGTAGCAATATGCGTCAGGCCCTTGCTTTCTAATTAAGAACAAAATATTATTTTGGTTATGCTTTTATAAAACAAGATTGATAAGGAATTGTAGAAACACATTTATCAATTAAAAGTGAATTTTAATAGGAAAAAAAGATATTTAAAATTTATTTTTTAATACGAAATCATACAAATCAAATATTTTAATTAAAAAAATAAGTGATCATAATATATAAATTTTTAAAGGTAAAATAATGTTTTCTAGGAAAGCACATGTAGCATTTTTTATTTTTTTTATATTGGTAAACAAATCCCTAGGCATGAATTTGATAGGAAATTGCTTACAAGGAACAACAAAATACAACTATACAAGTTGCAGATTAATTTGATTTGAATTTTGAAAACTGGGGCAAAGTCGTGTCACGTGACTGAATGTGAGCAAGGACTTTGTCAATGCATTTTGAATTTAATGAAATAAAAAAATATTAAAAAATAAAAAATTTAAAACTGAAGCAAAGTCGTGTCATATTAACCATTGTTGATATGAACCAAAAAAATAAAAAAAATTTGTTTGTGAAATTTCAAAATTTTATCATTTACTATTTGATTTCCTAAACATTTTTTTTAAAAAAAGCCAAATTTATTGAAGATGATTTTTATTTTTTGGAATGAATCATTTTATTTATTTTAATAATGTGAAAATATTTGACAAAATTTAAATATTTATATTACCATTTTGCTATATATATAGAAAAAACTGCCTAGTTTAACAATGATAACTCAACATGTGCAGGGGTAGTAAAGGGAAAAGAAATAATGAAAAATCCTTTGTAAAAATTCCTACCTAAATAAAATACCTATGTTACGAAAATTTCTTTTATGGTTAAGCAATAGCCTGAGGGCAACTATCACACGAGTCAAACTCACCTAGAACCTACTCATCAAAAACAAAAAAATGTTTTAAAAAAATTATTATTTACCAATAGGTTAATGCCACGTAGCAAACCTAAATTTTTTAAAAGCAAAAAATAAAAAGAATTTCCGCGTTTTCCTTTTTTCTTTGGTTTTCCTATATATACGTAAACAGAATTGCCGTTAGGCCTAAAAATATCTCCCCAGGAAAGAAAGCCTAGTTTATATTTCTTCGTCGGAAAAAACATCGGAGGCGTTTCTCCGACGAGGCGTTTGGAAGTAACTTTCAAGCAACATGCAAAACCATGAACATCATCATCGTCATCGAAAACTTGAGGCGGTGAAGAATGATGATAAGCAACTCGAGCGAGTTGACTCAGCTGAAGAAGACAAAGAGAAGAAGCAGAGATTCAAGAGCAAATTGGTGAAGTACGAAGAATTACCGGAGTATTTGAAGGATAATGAGTTCATTTTGGATTATTACCGATGTGAATGGCCATTGAGGGACATTTTGCTTAGCGTTTTCTCATGGCACAACGAAACGCTAAACATCTGGACGTAAGAGACTGGATCGTAATTTCACAAATTTCTGTTTCTTTCTTTCTATTTCTCCGATTAAATATATGCCAATTATTTTTTGTAGGCATTTGGGAGGGTTTTTAATATTCGTTGGATTAACGGTGATGAGTTCCATGGAGGAGTTTGGAGGTAGAGGCTTGATCTCCAGTTTTTCCAGGTTAGGGCTTGATTGTTATTTTGAAGTTTTTATCTGGGTTTTCTGGGTTTTAAACAAGTAAAAAGGTAATTTTTGCGTGGGGATGTTTCCAGAGCTCAAGTATCAGGACCGTCGATGATGATGATGAAGAATGATGTTAACGCCTCTGATAATAATCACAGTATCGTTTCGGTCAGTTTTTTTTTCATTCATTCATTCATTTTTTTATTAAACATTTATTTTTTGAACTTTTGAAAATTTATATAAAAACCTAAATAAAACAAGAGAATGGGGCTGTGAATATGAAGGGGGAAGGGGACTGGGCGGGACGTGACAGCACTTTTTGTTGAGTTTGGTTTGGTGGGTTATACTTTACAGAGGTAATATTCTGATTCTCAAAGCAAGGGGGGCCACACCATGTGATTTGTTATTATACATTTTACCTAGGAGTATGTTTTAACAGTGGATCGAATGCAATTTTCGATTTAACGGTCTAAATCGGTCGGTTCAATAAACACGTTAATTATTATAGTTTAAATACAGTATTTGTTATTAAATATAATAATAATTTCATAAATAAATGGATTTGGTTTGATGATTAAATTATTAATTAGTAATTTATTTAAATAATAGATTGATCAAATCCGATTAATATGGTTTAATCAGATTTTGATTGATTTGATGAACATTCGGTTTTGGGCTGATCACCGGTTCAATCGATTGATCCGGTTCCCATGATACGAGTGTATTTTATTAATATTTTACTTTGAAAAATATTAAAGGATTATATAAATTATTACAGTGGTTAGGTTATATTATGTAAAAAAAGTTTTTATAATTAATATAATGTTCTTAAACAGGTATAATAGAATAAAAATTTAATTAACTTTTAATAAATGACGCTCTTTTAACTTGTACTGGTAAATATTATTATCTGGCATGGCCTGTAGTGATTTAAGAAAGCTTAGGTTTAAGCTGGCCGACAAATTATAATTTGCTTCCTCACGAGTTTCAGTGCCTCTCGTGAATACTCATTGGGCGGTGGCTGCTAGTAATTGCTCTCGGATGTAATTTTATTTTAATGGAAAATTAATTGGGAGAAGATTCAAATTTAGGAAGATGATCGAATTTATTACCCATATTTAAACACAGGTACAATTTTATTATTTTACTTCTTAATTTTGTTGTTGTCAAAAATAAAATATTTTATTAAATATTTCTTCATTTCTTTATAAAATATTTTTATCGTTAATTTTTACTAACTTTTTAATTACATTAAAAATTACAATAATAAAATTATAGTTGTTTAAATGATTAATTTGGATTTATTCCAAAAAAAATTTCCTCTTTTCTTGGATGGATATTGCTTACTAAATAGAACCGGTAGTAGTAATTCATACCATTTGAAGTGTACTAGTAATTCTTCTCTTGTATTTATGTTGCTTATTCCAAATGGATTTTCTTCTTCTCTAGGATGTATATTGCTTAAAAGCGATTTGTTTCACAATGCTTAACGGTAATAGGCCGCAATTTTGGGTGCAAGTTGGTTTGGGATTTTTGTAAGTAAAAATTATTGTTCTATTTGCTTCAATGTTTGAAACAAGTGTTACTGTCATAGACAAGTATGATCAGAAACATATATCTTTTGAGTAATGGATAAGTGACGTGATAGTCCAAAACACCTTCAGCAAGGAAATGAGCCAATGTGAATTGTTGAATTTCCGTGTCTGGAATGGACAAATCTTTGACGAATTATGGATACCTCTTGGTCGTAATTCATTTGCTTGAATTTAGTTAAATCTTTTGACACCCTTTTGGTACAATGGTACTTTCATATTGCAAGACACCTATCTTATACTAGAAACCATACAAGAAGAGAATAAAGGAATACTTTTTGTAGACGACTTGAATAGATTAAAAAAAAAAGAATTCGATGCCTTACTCTTGAAAAGTCATGAGCTGAAAAGGGCTTCAAGCATTTTGGCTAGAGGGCTAATGGCCACTGGGCCTATGGTCACTGGGGCCGATGGTCACTGGTGAATTGATCCAGTGTTCCATTTGTGCCTGCATATTACATACTTGATACTCCAAATTACCTAGGCTTTTGCTATAATTTCATTCTATTCGTCAACCTGCTAGCTACTTCAGTTTATGATGAGCAGTAAATCATCGAAGGAACACTAATGTATATGATTTTGATGCTTCCTTGCAGGATTCACACTTCAGGCAGATTTCTCCGCCACCTCTCTTTGAATTGCAGAAAGAAGATGGCTATAAACCTATTCCAAAATGGCCCTGGTTTGTTTTCTTGTTTGGTGCTATGGGCTGCTTGATTTGCAGCTCGGTCTCACACCTCTTTGCTTGCCACTCCAGACGCTTTAACCTCTTCTTCTGGCGCCTAGACTATGCCGGCATCTCTCTTATGATAGTCTGCTCCTTCTTTGCCCCTATCTACTATGCCTTCTTCTGCCACCCATATCCACGTCTCTTTTATCTCGCATCCATAACAGTGCTCGGAATCCTTGCCATCATCACTCTGCTTGCACCTGTTTTCACAGCACCCCGTTTCCGATCCTTTCGAGCTTCCTTGTTCCTTACAATGGGCTTCTCAGGAGTGATCCCAGCGGCACATGCAGTTGCCTTGCACTGGGGCCATCCGCATATATTTGTATCCCTTGGATATGAGCTAGCGATGGCCTTCCTATATGCTGCAGGAGCTGCAGTTTACACTAGCAGAATACCAGAGCGGTGGAAGCCTGGTGCATTTGATATTGCAGGTCACAGCCATCAGATATTTCATGTATTTGTTGTTCTCGGGGCACTTGCTCATTGTGTTGCCACGCTAGTGATTATGGATTTTCGCCAGGTATCAGCAACCTGCGTGTGTTAGGGCATTCTACATTTTAGGTAGACAATGCTAGTAATGAGAGATTTCCTCATTGTTTCTCCCGTTGTTTGGCTTATTGTATCACTTCCACGAACATCATTTTCTTCAGAAAGTGAGAGAAGTTCAGGTTGTTGTATTGATGACATTCAAAATCATATTTGATTGCTCATACTGACTTTGGAACTCAAAATTACACCGCTTAAATCTTTATTCATTTGGAATCCAGAGCTTAACTCTTAAGCTATTCATGCAGTCACCTGCCACTCCTACTATCCTAAGTTGCGGTTTCTTTTATTTAACAAAAAAAAAATCTTAATTAGCTTGTTATGGATTAGGCTTAACTTAAAACATGTACACTTAGTGCTTGAAAGCAAAGAACAGAATATTGCTATTGCATTATATTTTACAGGAAAGAAAACTGAAGCTTTATTATTGTCAATTTTACATGAAATTATTATTCTTAGGAGAACTACATAGAAAGGTACAAATTTTCCACGGTTCTTTATGTTTTATTGACATCCAACGAAAGTGATGGTAAAAAAAAAAAACCAAAAATTTGGTAAAAAAGTAAACGAGCAAAAAGTACCAGTCATCAATGAACTACTCAACAGATGGTCATGGTATGTGCCTTTCGCATACCAAATCTCTCAACAAGCCTCCTTGCGCTGCAAAATCAAACTGTATCAGAAAGTATTCACTCCATCTCGGTCAACTCTTTACTGTCAAACATGTCACAAAACTTTGTAAAATAAACTTCCCCATCCTTGCCCGTCTCTAGTGGCTCTGCATTGTTTATCACTACTTGTAACTCTAGTGCTATACAAAACCTTGGCTACGAACAAATCATTTAGTATCCAAAATCTTGTTTTCCTCAACTTGTAACCTCAACAATCTCAGCTTCGCTATCGCTATAATCTCCCCAACACTTGGTCAATTTTGCATCAACTTGTACTTCACTGCAAGCTTCTTTTGCCACAGTAACAGCACCAGTCAAAGGAACCACATCTGCAGGCTTTCCTTCATTTTCAAGAACCTTGTTTTCGTTGTCTAAAGATTGATCTTTTGGTGGTTTCTGCTCACTTGACTGATTTTCACCTTCAACTTCAGTGGAGGAACTCTCTGGAGTCTGCTCTGCTACTGCTTCACTTTTGGTTTCAGCTCCAATATCAACAGTTACAACAGCTGCTAATTCTACTGGTCCAGTTGGAGTTATGAGAAATCCATTTTGAGTCACAGGAACACCATTTGGTGTCATTGGGGACATGGGATAAATACTTGGTGAAATTGGCATGCCATTTGAAGAAGCCAAAAATCCATTTGGAGAGACAGGGTAGCCATTAGGAACCACCCAAGGTTGGCCGGGTACAAACTCAGCTGCATGTGGGTTCATTATTCTTGGAGGACTGTAGCTGTTTCCTTCTCCAGAATGTTCACTGCTGTGGTAGCTAGACTTGTTCCGTGGAACTCGATTTCCGGATCTGTTATAGCCTCCAGAGAGCCTAGGTCCATATGGTACTCTAGCTGTCGCAGATTGATGAAGTGATCTTCGGACAGGGTTGACTTGAAGCATTGGGGGTATATTCACTGGTGGGGGCAGGATTCCTCCATGATCCTTGAAAGCAGGAACTGTAACTGAGCTAAAAACAGGAATTGTGGACGGATTAAATGGGGGTGCAGCAGCAGAAAGTTTCTTTGTTGTCTCTTTAACAATTTCTGCTTCATCTTGCTTTTCTCCTTCAGTTGGCAACTGCTTAACGCTAACTTCACCACTAGGTAGCTCTTGAGGATCTTCATCTGACACTTTTCCAGTGGGCATAGAGGCCTCTTTCTCTGGCAACTGAGCTGTATTTTCAGTTACAGCAACCAAAGGTTCTGAGTTGGAACATGTAACTTGGCATTTGTCTAAAGATCCAATTTCTAATGCTTCAATTTTCGAACTAGCACTATTTGACTCATTGCAAGAATTAGAATATGAAAATCCATTTGCAGCTTCCGTTTTTGTGATTTCAACATCACTGTTGACTTCTACCGTCTCAGCTTCTATTTTTATGTCTTCAATTACAGTGCCCTTTTTTTCCACCAAAGTTTCTGTCAACACCAATTCACTTGTCTGCGCTTCTCTTTCTTCATTAGCAGTGCTTTTCATTTCTGTCTCAGAACCTAGAAACTCTTTCTCTCCAGTTGCTTTTTCAAGTTCTTCCCTAGTGACCATTAGTGTTGCCACATCACTTGGTGTGACATCTGGTGCTGCTGTCTCTTGGCTTGCCTGAACATTCTGTTCTGGAAGAGGATTTCCTTTTGGCAACTGCTCTGCCACTGCCTTTACGATTGTCCCAGGTGGGGCCAAAGCAACTTCCTTGTAGGAGAATAGTTTTCCAGCTGCTTGCACACTGATTGGAGTTGCTACTTGAGTAGGCTTGGTAACTTGATCAGTTGAAGCTGGGCTAGCAGGGGCTGATTTTGGGTTTACCAGTTTCTCCACTCCACCAGTTGTGCTGCTTGGGTTATTTAGCTTTGGGCTAAAGCTTGAACTTTTAACGAACTTTTTTGAAGCAGAAAGACTAGGTCCAGCTGAAGCAGTAGGCTCATTGGGGTTTGTTCTTGGAGATGTGAAATTATTGGGCTTTCCCCGATATCTTGAGGATTGGGACACATTCATAAAGTTTGTATTCAGTTTGGCTAGACTTGGCCTCCTTGAAGCAGAAGATTTACGAGCTGCAGGTGAACGACCTTTAGAAACAGCTTCTTGCCATCCTTCATCTGAGGTGTCATCCTCTTCTTGGCCAACATTTTTAATCAGCACTTGTTGATCTGGTAGAAGTGAATCAGGTTTTTCATTACCAGATTCCATGAATTGAGCTTCAGATTTGTTTTCTTTATCACTTGAATTCTCCTTAATAGGATAAGTTGGTGATGAAATCTCATCATTCTGATATTCATCTGAGACTGTCTCCCAGTTTTGGCCTGGTTTGCCCTTAATCTGTTTGTTGAAGGAAAACTTTGCTTACATATGTTTTCCATCAAGATGATAAGTAACCAAAAGGACAGGTTAATATGGGACTAACCTTTGCACGGGCTTTCTTTTGGGCATCTCTTGCTTTCATATCTGTGTCGGGGGCTATATAATCCAAAAGATCCGATACACTGATCCAAAATGGGAAACTATTGTCAATAATTCTTACCACCACAGAACACTAAGAGAAGAGTTGCATAAAACTAAGTGACTCTACAAATAAATTTATTTAAAATGTAAGAGGTTTCCTTGGGTAAATCATATTCTTCAGGAAGTTCATTCATTTCCAAGAGATTAATGACAACTAAAAAAAGTATAACAATTTTAACAGAAAAATACAAGTCAACTAAAGTTTAGGCAAACTTGAGCCTACGGTTCAAAATTTTGAATTGTCTTGAATTGGACAATAAATAATAAACTCTCAATTGAACAACATGAACTGCTATTCAACTGTATTTATTCTGCTTGTAGATTATACCTTAAATGGCCTTTGCTGGAGATTGATGCATCAGGCTTAGGCGTACCGTTACGTGCAGCTTCTTGCTGCTCTAAAGCCTTAGACTCAAAGTACTCAAGCCATGCAGCCGCATCCTACAGAAGAATTAGTACATAGATAATCACTAATTCAATCAGATTTAATCACAAACATATAAAACAGCAAATTACCTGTGTACGTAAGTCCTCAGGCCCTAGTTTTGCCTGCAATATTTGTAGTGTAGTTTGTTCATGCTGAACACTTAAGGAGTAAGCTTCCATCAAAGAGAGAGCAATTGCAATGGCATGGTAGCTGGCAGCAGTCTGTAGAACCCACAAATACATTAAACATGAACCTTAGTGTTCCAAGTCTACTTTCAGCTTAGATTGAGAATTTTTTTGGGATAATTTTGATAGAGCTCAAATTCATAATATAAAATCCAGAGTTTAAGTTTCCGTTCATTCAGCGAATACAGCATTCTTTCAATCTTAGCATCAGACATAATTCAATCTAGTACATCTAATTAAATGATGAACAGACATATTACTTTACTCAGTTGTTAATATGATAGTTTACCTGTATATGATCAGCTCCAAGTAGTCTTTGGTTGCATTTGAGAGCCTCATGGAGATATCTAAGAGCAACATGAACATTTCCCAAGCCTTCTTCCATCATTGCTACATTAATATAGGTGGCTGCTGTGTTCGGATGAGATGGCCCACATGTTAAATGCAAAAGATACAATGCACGATTCACGTACCTAGAATGAGAAAAAGACAAGATTAAGCATGAACTCTGATACAATATTCAGTCAATGATGTTTCTTGATAATGAAATTCATCCTACAAAATAATAGCACTTTTGCCTCTCAAAGTAACGGGCTTTTTTCCTCAAGAACCAGGTTTCACTTCTAATGGCACAGCATCATGTTTAAGTTTTTGGCCAATCAATGTTAAGTTTTCCTACTAATCTCTACCAACAACACTCCTTGGGACACAAATACCATCATGAAAAGGCTAGTCCTCATCAAATATTATTTTTATGAGGTATAAGTTCTATGATGACCATAAATATGGACATTCATGAAGTTTGCAACTATATAAAAATGGATGTTTATGAATATCATTATCATTAGCACCTACGCTCTTCAGGACATAGATAATGTTCTGAGAGAGAATAAACCCAATTACATCTCACTTTTTAATGGGATATAAAATTTGGTAAAAAATATCATGATCCAGATGCTTCATGATAAGTTTATATGAAACAAGCATGTAGTTAACAATTGAGCATGACTCGTGCAATCAGATTGCAGTTGATAACAGTTATCTTATTCAATGCTGAAATCATTGATTCTATTGACGGAGTTGTAGATTTGAAGTTTTTACCAGTATAAGAATTCTTAAGCACTAAACAGGATAAATAAAAAGGGGGAAAAACAGCTATCAGCTTTTAACATGGTTATAACCTAAAAACAACCTATCATGTGCTCAAGTATATGGCATTAATTCTGCAGCATGGGGATATCATATGAACATGTATTTTCTATACAGCAAGTGTGTAAGCATAACTCATCGTCTTACCTCTCCTAATCAACAGCATGCATTCTTTTGACAAAGAAATGACAAAGAGGATTATCTCACAAGGAAAAGTTCCTTTCTCTTTCTGCTAAGGCTTAGGACTATCTTTCAATCTCAAGGTTAAAAACAAAGGGAGCTAAAAGCAAACAATTTCTTTAATTAGAAAGATATAAAAGCATACTTCAACGCCAACTCTGTATGTTGAAGGCGATAATAGAAGACAGCTAGGTCCCCATAACTTTTCATCGTATCTGGATGGTCAAGACCAAGCTCTCTTTCATTTATATCCAATGCTTTCTGCTGATAAATGGTAGCCTAAATAATTGAAAACAGATCAGTATATTGCAAACACTGAAAGAATCATCAATGTCGGACAGAGATAACCCAGAAGCATATGTCTAGCATGCACTAATCCTTGATTCAATGCTTCAAATATCAAATAAAATAAAATTTTAAAAAATACACCAAAGGTGCCTAAGGGACAAAAAATCCCAAAAATTAAAAGATGATTTCCAATTTATTATTTTTTATTTCTTTTGATCATCAATGGATTTCAATAGGGTTCAAAATTCTGGGTCATTTAGAAAGCAGTGTAGATAAATTTGGTCTCCAGTCACATATTTTAACATTTTTTAAAATGCAGATAAAAATTCTAAGCAAAGAAATTTTAACATATTTTAAAGCAAATACCTGATTGAAGTCTCCAGTATGGTAAAGCACAACAGCCAGAAGACTGTATGCTCCTGCAGTCATCCGATGGTAAGGACCACAGACTGAGACAAGTTTTGAAAGTGCCTACATCGTCAAAGTCAAATATCACTTCAGATGTCTTTTATATTGCTGAAGAATAAAGCCATTTAGAACAGTATATAGAGAGACGCTTCTTCATACCTTAGTGCCATAATTGACCGCATCCTCCAATTTACCTTTATCCAGGGAAGTCTTGGATGATTCCAACAGTGTACGCCCATCTGCTGACGAACATGCAACATGCTGTGGGGAGGAAACAATGTCACCAAAGTCCAAATCAATCTCACCAAAGTCAGAATTGTAAGACAAATTATTTCCAGTTTTAAATTCCACTCAGTGGTTTATTTACCTTGAATACAGGAACCATGCTTATGATATCTGACTTCCTAAAAGGAGATGGAGTATCCATGTCATATTCCCTAGGAACAAGCTCAAGCCCAACCTGGGAAATTATCATTTCAATTAGAAAATGGAGATGAAGCAGAATTCATTTTAAGACTCCTCACAATATGGCAAGATGATTGTACCTTGTGGCACAGTCCACGAAGAATCGCAAACTTTCTCAGATCCTTGCAGCTTTCTGATTTCCAATGCCACCCAAACCTCTTTGAAAGGAAAGTTTCCACCCATTCCCATTTGAGTTTGTCATCATTAATAATATCTATTTCACCATTCCCAATTGATGGTGTCCCCAACAATATATTTAAACATGCTGCTATTGATGCAGCCAAGTCACCAACACTATCAACTGCTGATACAACAGCCTGTAACACATGTTTGTAGGCTCGAACAACCATTTCATGTATACAAAGTGACTGCACATGAGGCAACTTGTCTGCAAGCTCAACCTAAAATGATAGGAAAGAGGAGAAGAAGGGGAAGAAGAGACCAGGGGGAGGGGTTATCAAATTTTTACCAGTCCTCTATAGTAGTCATTGATATGTAATAATATAGAAAGCCAAGCTCCCTAAATGAGATCAGAAACTCTTCAAAAAGATTTTCCATTAGAAGATATTTTGGACAAAATAACACTAAAGACTACAATATCTAGTAAATTCTGCCCCTACTCACACAAATCTGTTCCTTGTTCATAGTACACAAGTGATATTAAAGGACAAAGAACAATGTGGTTAAAGAGTGCAAGAAATCTATGCCATATATCTACAATTGCTAGAGGCATTCCCTAGAGTCTGAGACTGTCTTTTCAATGTAATAATTGCCACAACTAGGTTGAAAAAAATTACCAATGAAATGTAAAAGCAATTCAAAACAACATTCAATAGAAAATTTTATTAATGGCGTAGCAATAACTTTGGTCTTGGTCCTTTTAGTGGATACAGTTCAACAATTTCAAAAAGGTCAGAATCTACCTTTTTCCTCTTTTCTTTCTAGGTCTTTTAGGGTGGATTGACTTTGTTTAAAAGCGATTCACGTTCACTATTCAAAAGAAATTATATTTCTTTAAACATATCTTACATGGTGACCCAATTCTGCTGCAACAATCTGTTGTCTTGATTATCACAATATATTATATTTTGTCATTTGGTTGACATACTTTCTCATAGAATGACCAAAGAAAAATAATACTCTTATATTAGCTTTAATTATTTTTTGGATAATTTGAAAACATTAATATTACTATTATTACTTTTTGCTCCTTTATGGAACAGATTATCATCACTACTTGCTACAGGCATAAAGGTATGTATCACCTGGCTGGACTAGACGTAATCTAAAATTCAATAAGAAAGTTAATGAGGTTTATATATATATAGATAAAATAAAAAATAATGAGATGAATTATTACCACACACCCCAGCGAACATATTTGCAAACCCCTTGTATGCATAAAATCTGTCAAAGTCCTTCCATCGACTGGTGAAAGTTCAAGGGAGCCAAAATCTGCCACCTAAAAGATTTGAAGTCACACCAACCAAATATATTAAGTCCAAAATATCTCAAAGGAAAGGGAAACATTGATTGTTAAAGAACTAACCAGTTTTAGAAGAGCAGTATCAGCATAGTATTTATGCACCATTTCAATCAACTCATCAGGAGACTGACATATGAACAAACCATAAAAACATTAGTAACAAACTTAAAAAGAGAAAATACCTACAAACAACTTTGTTTTTCTTGAGAGAGAGAGAGAAAGAGAGAGAGAGAGAGAGAGAGAATTGCTTAATACATAAGAATTTTACATGTTAACTTTTAGGGAAAGGGAATACATAAATAAGTTCAAAGAAACCATGGATGGATCAAATTTTTGCAAAGTTATTCTTCTGGGAAAGTAGAAAGAAACCTTAAGATGAAGGCCAGTTTGTGATTCTTTTAGTCGCAAATATGCTGCTTCAGGAAGCAGTTTTTTCCACAACATTTCCATTTCCTCATCTCGCTTCTGCAGATCCTTCTGATTACTGACTTCTGATTTCTTGCTCATATCCAGGCTGTTCTCTGAAGAAACCTCCTTACTCTGTTCAGTTTTACCGCCTTTGATATCTGTTTTCTTTTTAATTTCCTTTAGCAATGCACCTTGCTTTCCAAGACCCTTCACAGCAGGCTCAGGCTTAACATCTTCATTTTTCTTAGACTCGTTTTTCCCAGAAGACTGATTCTGAAGATGTTGCAGCCAGCATGCTCCTAGCTCCCATCTAATAGACCTGGAGTTATTAGAGGGTTCATTCTGCAACTTCTGCAAGCTATCCTCTAACACTTTCCTCACTGAAGCCCTAGCAGAATGCAAGTTCTCAAAATCCACATTCTGTGATCGCTGAGCTGATGTAGGTGTGGTTGACTTGTGCAATAGCATCCTTAAGCTGAAAGGTGTTTGTAAGAGATGGACATTAATATCTCACAATCCAGTAGTGTAAGCTATGGTCATAGATATCAATGCCACATGCGATTGTTTCAAGATTAAGTTTGTGCACATTTTCCTTTGCATATGCCTCCATGCTTTGATTCTTTCTGTGTGCTTGCATCTCATTGAGGGATAGTTAGGGCATAATATGTCTTTGTTTTTATAAATGAAAATTTTATTTACCCAAAAGAAAGCACGTAAACCTGCCACATCAAAATAAATAATATGCTTTGTGTATTCAATAAGAACTACTTGATAATGAAATAGACATGAGATGAGCTGACCTATTGACATTTAAAGCGTTGGCACCTCCTTCAGGCTGGTCCTCAATGTCAATGTCTTTAGGAATGGGATTTCCCTCCCAATTTACCTTAGCTGAAACTTTTACTATAGCTGTGTAGCCACAATATCTGACAACCACAACACCTAAAGTAGAAGTATCCTGCAAGACAAAGAAAAAGTAATCTCAGCAACACATCTCCACGTTCTTAGTTCACCATAGTAAGCATTCAGCAAAAATAGTTCACTTACATGAACAGTTGCACTCTCATCAGCAGTTATGCCTTTAAGTAAATTTCTCCGAGTGAGCTCCTCTTGTGGCATTCCAAGAATCCGACTCCCATCATTTTTACAATCCAATTTCACACTTGCATCAGGAACATCTCTTGTCACCTTAATGATCAAATCTCCCACTTTCCCTTCATGCAAAATTGAAGCAGAAGGGTCACTTAAAGCATTCTGATTGGTTTCAATGATGTTCTGGATTGCTGCAACTGCTTTAAAAACTGAAACGTCAACAAATAAGCTGTGAAGAAGAAAAGCCTTCCTATCTCGTATTTGCCTCTCTTCTGCTGTTTTGCAAGGCATGGCAGCCAGTATTGCAAACTCTTTTGCCCATTGCCTATTGTCATGCTTACCATCTCTTCCTTGTCCACCTCCATTTCCTCCCCAGTTTTCATCTTCCACTGGAAGTGGGGGAAAAGCTGATGGGTTATCCGCTACTACAGGAGGAACAACCCATGTATTTGCCCGAAAACCATAAGGAAGGTTGCCAAACTGAATTGTAAATGTAAAAATAATATATAAAAAAAAGAACAAAATTGAATTTAAAACCATAGACTCTTATTAATATCAAAATGCGGCAACTCATTGAAAATTTACATACTTTATTGTGCTCAGTGAAAGCTTTCATAAGAGCCTTGTATGCCTGCAAGGAAAATTAGAGTTCCTCAAAATGAAAGCATTATGTACCAAAAATAAATAAATGCATTTTAGAGAAAAAGTGAACATGTTCAAGGAGATACCTAACAGATAGAATTTGAAAGTTTCAATTTAGAGGTGTCAAGTTGGAATCTTAGAGAAAACCCAACGGGCTTTTACATGGAGAAAAATTTTAAGGGAAAAAAGCCGGAACAAGAGGAGATGAAATGGAACTTACAGCATCAAAGACCCTGCTAATTTGCTGCAGAAGAGCGACCAGAGAGTGACAGATAAAAGGGCGCTTTCCGGCCGGGTAAAACCCTTTTCGACAAGCAACTATGGTCATCGGTTTCCCACTACAAACTCGAACCTACAATTTTTAGTTGGATCCCAAAGAATCAGATTAGCACCCATTTCTGAAAGCACAAAAAAAAAAAAAAAATCAAAGTAAAGCATCTCACTTACATCAATTTGGAAAAAGTCATCTTCTGTTTTATCCTCCAGGAATGAACGACTTGATCTTCTAATATCTGTTAAAATAAAAATACAAAAACAGAGAAGAATTTTAACTATGGAAAAAATAGAATAAAGAGTTCATGTCTACAAAGAAAAGAAAAAAGACACTTACATTGGATAGGAGGCGTGAGGTGAGAGAAGGAGAAGAAATCGTAGAACTGACCGAGCCGCGGTGGAGGACACATCGACACCGCCGCCGCGTCGATTTTCTCCTTCGCCTTCGAGTTGTCGGAAGATTCACTACCATGGCTTGGCCCGTTATCCGAAGCAGCCGATTCCTTAAAACCTGGTTCTTTTGGTACGGTTCGAGCAGCCGGTTTAGGCGAACCGAAGGAGGTTGTGCAGGCAAAGATGTCGAGGAGTCGTCGGATATGTGCGATCGCTAGATCCTCCGTGTAGTCCTCTGCGCCATTTTTTTTTTTGAAGTTAGATTTTCTGGGGAAGGATTAGGTGTAACGAGGAACACATTTAAAACAATGGGACCGTTGGTGGGGCAAATTACCTTCAGTTATGGACAGGTGGCAGGGTTTGAGAGAGACGATGTCAACGGAGTCCTTAAGTTGAGGTCCTCGCACCTTTAGGAGATTTGCCCACGAGATACCAAGCATATGGTATTGTATAAGTATCGGTATTATAAGAGAGATAAGAATGCAACGGATAAATTATTAAATACATTGATAGTATAATTTTTTAATTTTATAAGTAAAATTAAAACGATGATATATATATTTTATATATTTAAAATAATTAATTTTAAAAAAATGTATTATTATCTTTGTAAAATTAAAAAAAATTTCATTATTAATATATTAAATAAATTTTCAATAAAAATATCTAAATTACCTTTTAAAGTCTTCTTCTCTTTTATTTTTAAAATAATTTAAAATTGTTTTTTTATAAGAATTCCAGCAATTATCTCAGTGTTGTTTCCTTCTCTTTTTTCTTTCACATAAATAATTACTCCCATCTTTTTTTCTGCCCTTTTCCTCTTAGGAAAAATGGTAAACAATTTTCTTTAATTATAGTTAAAAACGTTCCATAATTTTTAAGGTTTTGGCCTTTTAAGGAAGGAATATATATTTTTTATTTGAAATAGGAATCAAGAGGCAAATGTAAGAGTGCAATAAGTATCTTTACTTAATTAACCTTTCTTCTAATCATTTTAACATACAGTTCTAATTAATTTATGGTTAAATATTCATAAAAACATTTATCCTGAAAATAGTAGCAGCATCTCGAAAATAACAAATCGTATTAATTTGATTATTATGATTAATGTATAACATTTTTACAAATCGTATCAATTTGATTATTATGATTAATGTATAGTATTTTTAATTTTTAAAAATCAATATGAATTAGAATCAAATTTCTTTTAAATTCAAATAAATTTGAATTGAATTTTATTAATTCATTAATTATTAAAAATTAATTTTTTAAAATTTTACTATTATTTTTAGCATATTTAAATAAATTTAAATATAAATTTATTTATAAAAATAAATTTATATAAAAATTAATAAAAATCAAACCAAATTAAACACAGTCATTTGTTTTTTCCATGCCTAACAAATCCTCATCTCATCTTCCCTCACTTCGCCGCGACAATCAAATAAGACCGTTGATGGACAATTGGGTATGGACCATCACATCTCAGAATTTGATATTTTGATGTTTTAAAAATGGTGACGAAAATGGTGTATCATTTTGTAGAGTAAAATATTAATAATCTAAAAATAGTGATTATCTAAATTATTTTTTCTTTTAATGAGGATTTTTTGAAGGTTTGATTCCTTATTTTTGACAAACAAAATTCGCTCGAGATCAAATTATTTACCATTGAACTAATGAGAACATTAATTCGACCGATAAAAGCTGGTCTATTTTCTAAAAAACAAAGCTGGTCCACCTTTTATGCTTGGGATCTAAATCAAAAAATGCCGACGATGACGCTATATTTTTCCATTCCCAAATTGGAAAGGGGACAATAATTGAGCGGTAAAAGGCATGTGTAATCTTAGTTTTAGTAGGATTTTCTTTTCTAACATTGAAACTAAAAAAAAATTATTCACATGCAAAACATGTGATATTATAAAAAAGAAACATGTACCTAAATTTATACCTTGTGAAATATACGAAATGGAAAAAAACTGTGTAAGCATACTTATACCTCGTGAGATAGGGAGATGTTGGTCAAATGACATGTCTCAACGTGGACCCCTAAAAGCTTTCTTACATCTAAGATCCTGTCCGTAGATATCCCCTTCACAAATGCAAAGAAAATAATTATTGTTACCACTAACGACAAAAAGAAAAAAATATATATATATAAAGAAAAAAAAGAAGATGTGAGAAATGTACGTTTTATTATGCATTTTGCAAGAACGAAGGAGATGGATGAATCGATGGGATACCTTGAGAGTAACTTGGGATTCTTCAGGTGTTTCGACGGAAATTTCGATTACAGTCGGTAAAACTGTAGAGTAAATAAGTTTTCAGTTTTTTATTTTGAAAAATACAATAAAATGGAAGAGGCAAGAATAATTTTGAACCATAAATTAGCATATAACAAGATAAGATAGGAAGTAAAGGATTTTGAACCAAACATTTCTGAATTGATAAGAATTGTGAAAGCAACTAATATCAATCATATTGTTGATTTTTTTTTTTGGTAAGTTTAAGTGGTTATTTTTTCTCTTCGTTTTCCTTCATGGAAGTAGAGATGCATATAGGAGAAGAAATGGAAAGAAGGAGAGCAAAGATAGTACCTTTCTCTTCTTTCTTCTTCTTCTCGCCCTTGGCTTTGTGTGGTTTTGTCTTCCCTGTCTTGGGAGCCATTTGTGCACCACAAGTGTAGGATTGGTTATAAAGATGGAATTATTTGACTGCTTCAACTGGTAATTCTTTGACGATAATAACTATGACCCCAGATTGAATTTATCGACTGATAAAGTCTCTGCATGCAAATTCTGAGAGAAATCTCCGTCCAACACTCAATAACTTTTTCTTTCTATAATAAAGAATAAGAAGACCTAGGAAGTGATGACTTGACAGCACCGGACGGCAAAAATTTCAGCAAAAACACAAAGTTAATATAAAGAAACACATAAAAAAAAAAGAGCAAAAGAAAAGAGAAGCAACTGCTGAAAGAAGGTCAAGCAAAAGGCGATAGTAATATAAACTAGAGCTTTGAAATGAGAAGATGAGTGAGATATTCTGACGATGAAGACATGACGAGAGGGAGTTGGATGATGATATTAGTGTGCATAAATGGAAAACTGGAAACGAAAAAAGCGCAAGCGAAAGAAAAGAAATTAATAAGGGAAGCTGGGGGACAAGAGGGAGAGAATGAGAGAGATGGGAGAGTGTTAATGTTTGGGAAGAGAAATGGAGAGAAATAGAGGTGTATAGGATAAGGGTAAGCCCTAGTCCTTTTTTGTACACAAGCAAACCAGAATGTAAGGCTAGCAGGGAGAGACCGAGTGAAAGAGGCTTTGACGTTTGGGGGAGAGAACGAGAGGTGGATAGGATAAGGTAGCCCAACTCTCTTCTTGAACACATGCAAATAAAAAAAAGGCTAGCAATTTCAGGCCTCTCATTTTTCCCATCATCTCTCTCGCTCTTTTTATTTTGTTTTTTTACTCTTTTCCTCCTTTCTTTTCCTTGGAAGGCTGTTGTTGGAAAGTCGAAAACAGCTACACTGAGGGAGCTTATCAGCCCATTGGTTGGGTGAGTTTCAAACCAATGGTTGCATGACACATTGAGTACTTCCTATATTTAGTTAGCCAGCTTCTAAATGGTAGTACACGAGCTTGTCTCCATTTCTTCCTTCTCAATTCTTATATTTTGAAATAAATTCCCATTAAACAAATAATCGATTTTATAGCTCTAAAAGCAATGAGTAAAACTCTTTATCTAATATTTGGCTTCAATTGATGAGGATCTCGATTCTGATGGATTAAATGTTTATTTTTTATATTTGTTATGTGCACAACATATTTTAAAGGTGTTATAATAATCTAAATAGTCTATATATAAATATAAATTGACTTCGTGAAAAACATGTTGTTCTTTTTATTTTGTTTTATTATTTATTTTTTATCTATTTATGAGATATTATCTTCAGTGTCAAAATATCAATTCATTACTCATGTGCATGCCCTTTGATTGTCTCTACTTTGTACTTTGTAGGCCTTTCAATTGGATATCATTACTATAAATTTGGATTTTGATAAAATTAGTAATGACTCTTTTGTAAAGGATAGAAAATCAAAGATATATATTACTCATATTTGTCCCATCTTGGTTTTTGGGTAAAAAATTTAACTTTAATCATCATTTTTAATAAAATCATAAAATTATAAAATTTTAGTATCAAATTCTTAAAAAACATATTTTTTTAAAAAATTTAATTTAATATAATTATTTTAAAAAAATGGGTTAAAATCGAGTTTGTTTGACAATAATTCAAACATGGACATATAAGAAAATGTTATAAAAATAAAAATTATATATTCACAATGAATGATAGAAAGCAGTATATAGTAAAATTTATATTTTACAGCTGTTGTGTGGTTCAAGCATAAGCCTAAGTAAGAAAAGACAAGACGTGAGAATCAGAATGGTATTATAGAAAGATAAGATGAGTGTGTGTTGCATATTTTTTCATTCTTAGCAATGGTAAGTGGATACAAAACGAAACAAAAATTAAAGAAAAGACCTTTTTTCCTCTATCCTTGTTTTGTGAATTGTCATCCTCTTCAGTCTCCCTCTATGTTAGACAAACAAAACTTTAAAACCTAGAAGTTCTTTTGTCTCCTAACATTTTCACATATTTATTTATTAGAGATGATAATTGATTGAGTTATAACGGATTTTTGTTCGATCTAATTTTGACATAATTTTTAATAGATTTATTCAACTTTAATTCAATGTTAAAATATTTTTTATATTTAATCAAATTCCTATAGTCATAAATAGTAATCAATATGATTTGACTCGAAATTAATTTAATAATTTTAATTTAATATATAAATTATATCTTTATTATATATAAAGATGGTATTTTTATTAAGTTAATATCTTAAATTAAAATATTAAATAATAATTTTTATTAATATAATACATATATATAATTAAATAAATAATTAAAAAACATATTTTATATATGTTTGAATCAGGATGGTGCCACCTAAAACTTGATTTTGATTCGAATATGATTTTAGGGAAAAAAAACCCCAACTTGACTCGACCACCGATTTAAAAAAAAAAAAAATTCAACCTTATTGAATCAAGATGGATTAAAACTCGTCAAATACAAATTATTTTACCATTCTTAGTACTTATTCATTCATTGTAATATCTATTGAGAATACTATTTTTTTAATATATACTAAAGATTGAATTTTTTTATATTAAACAAGTAATATTAATATATTTATTTAATTAAAATATTGACATTCATGATTTAAATGAATAAAATATAAAATATAATGATTGGATTAAACAAATATAAATCATTTAAAAATTATGAAAGAGTTAGTTTAAGTGAAGCCTTTTTCTCTCTCATATATATATATATATATATTAGTTTTTGGGGTGTGTAATTCTTGTTCATAAAAATTCATCTCAATAAATAATTTTTTTGATGTTACGATAACAATAATTATAAATACTAACAATTTAATTTTGATTTTGGTATAATATAGGTAAAATTTGATAACTTTTTATATACTTTTGAAAATAATGATAAACACTAACAATTTAATTTGTATTTTGATATTATAAGTAAAATTTGATAGCTTTTGATATAATTTTGATAATTTTTTATAAAATTTTGGTAACCTTTTGATGTAATTTTAATTATTTTTTGGTAACTTATGATATACTTTTGGTAATTATTGATAAAATTTGTGCAATCATTTATTTAACAATGGATTTTTTTGCATAAAAGCGAGAGTTCAGTTATAATATAATATAATTTTCTTTTTATATAATAATATTATATTTAATTCAAATTTATAATTTTTTTACTAAATCTTTTTATTGAATAGGTTCGTGATAGATTTATCATAATTTCTTAAGATAAAATTTGTAACTTTGTTTTTGCTAATAACCAAGGTTCAATCTTTGATAATTTCAAGTATAAAAAATTTATTAATTATTGACAATTAAGTTATCATTAATTCAATACTATTTTATCATTAATTTACTATTAAGCTATCCATGATATATTACTAAATTAGCATTGAAGTAGTGCTAATTTATAATTTATTTACTATTAAGTTATGAATGATTTACTATTAATTATTAATAATTTACTACTAAGTTACTGATGATTTATTATAAAGTTACAACTGATTTATTATTAATTTATCGATAATTTACCATAAAGTTATCAATAATTAACTAATGTACTACAAAATTATTATTGATTTACAATTAAATTAGCATTGATTTGCAATTATATTATTACTAGTTTACTACTAAGTTATCAATAATTTACATCTAAATTATTAATAATTTACTATTATATTATTTTGCATTTACTACTATATTATCATTGATTTACTACAAAATTACTATAGATTTATTATTAAATTAATTCTGATCCATTACCAAGTTATCATTAATTTATATTAAATTATTCATGACTTATTATTAAGTTATTAATGATTAACTATTAAGTTATCGATGATTCATTACAATTGAATTATATTAATTTATTTTAAGTTTCCAATAATTAATATAATAAATTATCATTAATTTATTATTAAATTATTCGTGATTTACTATGGAGTTTATCAATAAATTACTATTAAATTATCACTAATTTACTATTAAATTATCATTGATTTATTATTAAGTTATCAATGATTAACTATTAAGTTATCACTTGTTTTTTATTAACATATCATTGATTTACTAATATATATATATATATATATGTTATTATGCATTTACAATTACAAAACATGAAATTGAAAAAGTCCACTAATAATATATGAAATAATTTTTTTTATAAAATAATATTATTATTTTATTCAAATTTAAAATTTTTTACTAATTTTTTTATTGAATAGGATCATGGTAATTTTATCTTAATCCAAAAATAAAAGTTTTTATTTTGTTTTTGTTAGTAACTAGGGTTTGATCTTTATCAACTTCCAGTTTTAAAAAGGTTATTAATGATTGACAATTAAATTATTAGTGATTTACTACTAAATTATCAATGATTTACTACTTATGAATAGTTTACCATTAAGTTATGAATAATTTATCATTAAATTATAAATGATTTCTATTAAATTATCATTGATTTACCACTTAGTTATTGATAATTTATTATAAATTTATAATCAATTTACTACTAATTTATCGATGATTAACTAAAAAATTATCAATGATTAACTAATTTACTATTAAATTATCATTCATTTACAATTAATTTATTAATAATTTATTATTAGTTATTAGTAATTTACTACTAACTTTTCAAATTATTATTAAATTATCAATGATTTATTATTATAATTTTACATATTTACTACTATGTTATTATTGATTTACTACTTAATTTTTGATTATTTACTACAAAATTGTCACTAATTTATCGCTATATTATCTATGATTCACTATCAAATTATTACTTATTTATATTAAATTGTATATGATTTACTATTAAGTTATCACTAATTAACTATTAAATTATAAATGATTTATTACTAAATCATACTAATTTACTTTTAAAATTTCAATAATTAACTACTAAATTATCAATTATTTATTACTAATAATTGATTAAATAATAAGTTATTTATGATTTACTACTATCAATTAATTACTATTAAGTTATAACTGATTTACTAATAAATTATCAATAAATTATTATTAAGTTATTATTGATTTATTACTAAGTTATCAATAATTAAGGATTAAGTTATCACTTTTTGTTTTTATTAAGTTATCCTTGATTCAATATTATATTATTATGCATTTACAACTATATTATAATTGTTTTACCATCAAAGTATTATGCATTTATTACATTATTACTGATTTATTAAAAAGTTATGAATTATTAACTACTAAAGTATTATTCATTTACTATTAAGTTTTACTAATTTACTATTAAGTTATCGATAATTATTACTAAGTTATATTGATTACATATAACTTTTTAATTATTAATTACTAAATTATTAATTATGTACTATTATGTTATTATTAATTTGTGTATATATAAAAAAAGTAATAGCAATGTATGCTAAATGATATAATTTGTATGGTAAAGTACGAAAGTAATAAAAAGTTTAAGCGTAAATAACTTGAAAAGGATAAGTAAATGATTTTAATTTATTATCTATAGTTTAATACATGACAATATGTTAAAATCATAACTTTTCATACTAATACAAGTATCAAAACTAAATTAAATAAATATATACAATACATATTATGTCAATATTTCTAAGATATTCTTCAAATTTTTTATTTTATGGTAAAATAGTAC